TGTAATTTTTCTGTAGCTAGTGTCACTTTGATCAGCCCTAGTTCACAACAACTCTTATATCCTAATACTGATGGTTGATTTGCGTGTGTAACGTAACATTCAAGTTGTTGATCTTTGTATGGAAGAACACACTTTCCCGCTATAGGTATGGAATCACCTGAGTAACTCGTAAGTTTCACATTAGTTTTGGTGAGTGTGCTGTTTAGTTTCTTGAAGATTTTCTCTGTGATGATATTCACTTGAGAGCCTGTGTCCAACTTGAACTTGATAGGAATGTTGTTTATTTCCAAACTTGAGTAGATTTCATCTTGACTGTTTCCACTTGAAATAGCACCAATAAAGAACTTCTCACTTGTCTCACAGCTGTTTGTCATTTCATCTGTTTCTAGTTCATTTGAATGAATAGACTTAGTCCTGCACTTTGATGCAAAATGTCCTAACTTGTGACATCTATTACATTTTTTCCCAAATGCCGGACATTTTCCTTTCTCATGCTGGCTTCCACATTTTCCACATGTAAAGGATTTTGTGTTGATAGGTTTACTTGACACACTTTGCTTCTTGGGTTGATACACATTTCCCTTCATATATTTCTGGGTTGACGGAAATTTGTTTCCTACTGACGCTTTGACAGACTGTTTATATTTCACAGCATCCACATGTTCCTCATGTTGTAGATCCTTTAATCTATTCTGTGACTCTTCATTAGCACGACACATACTTAAAGCTTTCTGTAATGTGAGTTCATTGTCTCTGAGTAATCTTTCTTTGACTTTCTCTGAATAAACTCCACATACAATTCTGTCTCTTAGCATTTCATCTTCCAATGCACCAAATTTACAGTTTTTGGAAATTATTTTCAAGTCTGTGACATATTGGTCAATGGTTTCTATTTTACCTTGAACTCTGGTGTGAAACCTATGTCTCCAAACTGTAATATTTTCTCTAGGAGCACAGTAGTCTTTGAACTTCGTAAAAAGTGTATCAATCTTATCAATATCTTCATCTGGTATTGTCATAGTGTTAAATATTTCTCTGCCTTCATGACCAATGATATAGAGAAAAGCACTACACTTATCTTTTTCGTTTCTCTCATGCATGGCAATGTTCAGGTACAATTTCATCGTTTGTTCCCACTTTCTCCATCTCTCCGGTAAATTTCCGTCTGTAGTAGAGAAGTCTAACTCTGGTGGAGGACGAATGTGTTCCATTTCTTTTCCTTCTGACACCATGTAATGTTTCTATATTCAAACTCAAGACATGTCGTGCTGCATGCTTTTTTTATTCTGCCCCAGAGTTACATTTTAGACTAAACATTAACAACCTGATATAAACGGAATCGGATAAAAACGGATTACATGTACATATCATTACAAAAAGGACATAAGAATTGACCATGAAGCAGCAGAGAGGTATCGATGCATTATCTACAGCAGCTGCTACAGGTGGAAGTACAACCTACGACGGTACATGTACATTAAAAACAGGCATAGAGAAATTCAGAAAGTCCGAGGAACAGACACTGACCAAAATATTTTTAGGGTCTTAGATAGGTATATCTGTGATTATTTCAAATTCAAGACAATTGTACTGATTTCTCTCATTCATATTGTTTCAAAGATTTTTTATATTATTTTTCTTTCACGCATTTTACTTTTATTGTTTGTTATCGTTAGACACAAAAATGTTCATGACTGTTATTTCATTAAATTTTAACGAAAAATGTCCGAAATTTTCTTCGTCTTTTTTTTGAATATTTCTTCCCCGTAGTAGATAAAGGAATCCCTTTGTCACCATTGACTTCTTTTTTTCTAGCAAGTTACTATTTTACCAAAAACTATTGTAAACAATTTTACGGTAAATTCATTGTTTATTTAATATGCCGTATAACAGAAGAAACATTTTGATTTTGTCTTCTGAAATACAACCAAATGTGAAATTCTAGTATTCTACTCGATCATGTTCATGGTTTTGTACAGTACATCCACGTAGCATCGTTTTTGAAGGGGGGGGGGGGGGGCAGCCAGAGAAATTTCAAAGCCAACTTCTTTCAGTAGTAATTTTTTATACTACATTTACCTTATATCACAAAAAGTTAGGGGCCATCCAGCCCTTCAAGGAACATTTACTACAGCAATGTTGTCTCAGACTTATTAGTTTCAACTTAATTTTAATTCATCAAAAATTAAATTAATTGCATTTCTTAAAATGTAATATTTTGCACATTAACAACGAAACATTTGAACTTAAATTACATCGATATCGGGATCAAGCGTTATACTGTAATCTAAAATAAAAAATTAAAATAGGCCTAACTTCGAAAATAAAGAACACATACACATTTTATTTAAATGACATGTTTATTATGTTAAACTAATTTAGAAAAACATACAAAAAGCAAATTATTTACATTAAATTAAAAAATTTTAATAGCGTACTCTAAAGCACTCTTTTGTACTAGCGTACTTAGGTACTCTGTTAAGTAGGTTCGAATTTAATTTCGCCAATGACAAACTCTCGGGCCTTTCCTACTAGCAGTCTAAAAATAACCTCGAATGCACATGTGCTACATAGACGCCATGACAACCCACTTTTCACAAACTTTGAAATAAATGTTGGAAGACCTCTTATCTGTGGAGTATGAAGTTTAACTTTATTGACTGTAATGATAGTACCTAAAATATACAAGAGAAGGGACTTCTAAACCCTTCAATCCTATATTCAAATAAAATTTTTAACACCTGTTGATGATGCTACATTCGAGGCTGTTTTTCTGACCTCTGACGGAAAGGCCCTACTAAGTAACATGATGCGATTTCGAATTTCGCCTTATGTGCATGGCGAAATTCTCGTATACATGCTTAAGGGTTTTGTGGACGATTCCTCTGGCTTACTAACGGTTCTTCCTTTCCTTTTTTCTGGCCCCACGAGCTCTTTGAGGTTTACTAAAAACAGTGGTCTCTGTAAAAGAAATAAGGATACAATAAAATTTGAGATATAAAGAAACAGGAAAAAAAAAGATTTTTAATGGGGGGGGGGGGCATAACTGATAACAATCTTAATTCGGTAAAAAAAGCTATATTATTTAAATTCCTCCTTCTAAAATAAGCTATATTTCATTTTTTCATTTATATTTCATTCAACGATGCATCCATATCTTAACAAGAATAGATATGGGTTACCCCATATCCAAAGATATTCGACTTTTAGATTTAATATGCTTATCAGTGTTTATAATGACGTTAATAAAAAAAACTGCAATGTCTAGGGCCTAGTTATGGAACTGGTGTAAATTTCGTGAGCATGGTGAGGTCACCCAGTCTCCTAACAAACGGTACACATAGGCCTACATGAACCTGTGTCCGCAAGACCAACATTAGCCTTGATCTACACACGTGCGATGGAGCTGTTACACGCATCCAGCGAGCTCGGAGGAACACGTTTTGTTTTGCCGAGAAGTTACGATGGCAGACAAAACTTTTCTTTTCTTAATTAGATCATATGAATACGAATTCTGATTAATAAAAATTATACAATCCCTGTTGAACTATATATAGTTTGTTCTAACATTTGCATCTGCAACAACTTGTGTTTAAAATGGCTGTGTTAGGAAAATCAAGACCGGATCGGAAAATTCTAAACTGAAAACCTTTTTTGTTTTGAAAATTACTGAAATATGCTAATGTATTCGTCGCAGATATTACTTACATTATTCAAGTTCTATATAAAATGGTAAGCCTATGCTGAACTCCAACACGAACCCGAATGTCCGACCCAGTTCTCGTTTTGCCACACATTTTATCCCCTACAGTTTACAAAGTGTACACACGTGAGCAGAATCCAGCCAGGGATTGAAAATTCCGTCATTTAATAATATACACACACAGAATGATTTATTTTTTCTTAAAAGGAAATTGTATGATAATTAACAGACTATAAACATGTACTTAATACAATTGTTGATATAGTATTATCAATTCATCGGTGAAAAAATATGAATCGAAGAATGACCTAAATATTCTCTATTATCAAACATGTAAAAAAAAAAAAAAAAAAAAAAAAGGCTGAGGAGGGAGCGAGCGTAGGAATATTGATATTTTTTATTTGCATTTCGGGGGGAAAGTGATTTTCTAATAATATTTTGACGTTATTTTTGATTTCTTTAACGTATGAAATACACAACTTCACTCTTATCATGAACAATAATGTTGTATCTACTTAATCATGATGGAACTATTTTGGTCGGACCAATTTGTGTGAGCTGCCGCTGAAAACAATAATATATCTTGCAGAGATAGTATGCATTGATCGAATATATTAAAAATTAAAGAGAAAAAAGTTATTACATAAATGACCATAATAAACATCATCCAATCCGGCACCAAAAATGCAGTCAAATCCGGCACAATCTCCATTAAAATTAACCGATTCCAATCCAGCACATGTCAACATTTTTAAATCGAAATATTTTTGTAATAAAATGGGTTATAACAAATAAACATATAACAACTGGTCAGAATTACTCCAAAGTATCATTTGTTAGCCACACTCCTGCTGCTGGATGCATAAAACTGTCAGAATCGAAGAAAAAAACAACTCCACGCCGCTTCAAACTCAATCGGAGAAATTCTGCAGTCTTCAGTCGTTAAATATCCAAGTTTAAGAGACGATAGGAAAAGTAGCAATTAAACACACTAATAAGCATTTTACTAGGAATTCGACAGTATCTTCGAATCAAGCATATCTGACGGTGAACGGGGGATATTTACCGAAATTTCAGGTACCTACCTTTTTCGATTTGTTCCCGCCGCCATCTTGTTTTGTCCAATCCGGCACGGGATCACGACAGTGTTAAAGCTAAAGCCAGAATCCTTAGTTTAATTTAAAGATGTCCGTTAGGTGAAGATGACAAAGCATAACGATTCAATGTAAACAGACCAAACCTTTTCAAGAGTCAAATATTTCCCAGTTTATTAAAGACATCACTATTGTTTTGACAGGTCTCTTCAATCTTTTGGGTTGTTACAAAAAGATACGTTGGACACCAGTCAATCGAATGGACTCGTTTAGAAGTACAACTTTAAATTCGACAAAGTCAGAGCATCTAGATTTGTAAGTTCGCGATTGTAGAGGTGCATGGGATGGCTCCACTTTTTTTCGTCTGCTTTAATGTAAATGTTATTGGTTTATGACGAATACTTTATTTTCATATTTGCCAATGATTTTGCTTAGATTACTTATAACCTGCATTTGTACTCAAAATTGATCACAATTGCAATCTGTATTGCATGTATCTTTTCGATCCTTTGGTATATGTATTAGCGTTTGCATGCTTGATTCGAAGAAGTCAAAATTTTAAACCCTTACATGTAACATTTAAACTTTATGCTGATGTATCTAGATTTTTTAGTTGCGTTCAAACATGCACTGTTTTCTATGGTATGTAACATTTATTTGATTCTTGTAGCCACATACTACAATAAAGTAACTGGTGAGGGTTTTTGAATAAAGAGCACTTTTTTACAGATCTGTCGGAAGGGAAATACAGTTATTTCAGTAAATATCTATTATACAAGCACTGAAAATTCGTAAATGAAGCTAAGCCAGCAAACCTTACTGAGGGTTTTAATTAACAATATTGTCTTGTATATGAAACAGTATAGTTCCTGTTCTTTTTGAAAACCGTATTATTGGCGATAGTTGTTATTTGCTCCCGTTGCCAAAACTTGTTTTTCACTAATAGTTGAAGCCCTAATTAGAACAAAAATTATGGCAAGAATGCTAATGTTTTCGCTCGATCGAGTCCCACATTGTGTAATTCCTCTTTATGCAAAATACCAACATGCATTTTCACCTGTATGCTCGTTTGTTCAGGAATGCATTGAAGCTTTAAAAAAGGTTACAACAACATTAATCTTCCACATCTAACTGTATGTTTTTCACTCTTTTTATCCTTCCTGCTCTTTTCGGATAAGCAAGATGAACGGTTGCTTATGCTCAAGATAAAAGAATTGCACAGTTTACGATTGAAATGTCTGTAACTAATCTATTCTACTGATTTACTTTTTCATTTGGCATCAGTCCTTGACAGCATTATTTTGTTAATATTCTTGTCCCAGAGAATTAAACTTGCTGCTCAATCAACCAATCTCGTGACGAAGAATGAAGGGAAGGATTTTTTGTTTCGAAAATTCTCTTTTAACTTCGATTTTCAAATTTTTTTGTTGCATAATAGTTTTATCGGCCAATCATTAACATCCACTGATTGGGTGGTACTCACTAATCGCTAACTTTATCTCAAAATTGAGAACTTTGGGATACATATTTTCTTCCCGAATTTTTAAAGTTCTGATAGATATTATTCCTTTGTGATATTACTGTCATTTCAATGATTTATATTATATTTGATGAGCTTTTCAACTGAAGCTTTACGAAGATTAACCGGAGAAGAATAAAGTGTAAGATGAAAAAGATGTAACAATAAAAATTAATGGGGTAATTTGATAAGGCTCATCATATCCAGTCTATGTTATGGCGTCATTCTGTGGTTCATAACGAGCCAATTCAAAGCAAGGGCAAGAGCTCGTGCTGTTTTACACAAAATTACAGGATATAAAAGCTAGACTCTTCGTAATACGATTTTAATTCATATCCATCCATTTTCAGCCACTTTGTGATACAGTAATTATAAGTATATGTTATGAACGGTAATTATAGGCAGGCTAATTGTCCTGTGATATAGAAAATACTTATTTCTAAAACCATGAAGATAATTAGCACATTTCTTTGCAGAATTAACCGCCATTATTTTTCTAAAGAAAGCCTTGAGCGTCCAGCGTCAAAAGCGTTATATTCCATATAGAGAGACACGGAGAAGCACAACCACTGTAACATTCAACGCCGTAGTGGCCGAGGATGTGCTGTAACGGGATCATCTCATACTCATTGTATATTCAGACATTTATACATGTTTTACTGTTGTTCTTTATTGCATGATTTTATGTAATGAATAAAAAATGTTACTTTGTTTACTTCATTTCATATCTTGAGGATACAAACCACAAACTAAAATTCGAGGCATGAGTTGGAATATATGTTTTTCGACTGAGTTTGAATAGAAATGAATTAAATTATCAATCCATAAAATATAAAGAAACCGTAAGTTTTCTTACTGAAAAGTTTGTGTTATTAATCCTTAAGGGGCAAAGCATAATTTATTTTATCAAGTAAACTCGTATTGCAGAGTTTATTTGATGATTACAATAAATTATGTTTCAACTGAAACCACCATTGGACAGTGCTTTGAAATCCGACTTGCTCTTTTCAGTGTACTTGTACAGTGTATTTATATACAAGATTTAGCACACAATTTTAACATTGTGACAAAATCTTACAAATCTCTCCCACTTTACCTGGCAAACATTATTCAGGTTTCCAAATTGAATAAAATATTGTTGATTACTGAAAAGTTTGTGTTATTAATCCTTAAGGGGCAAAGCGCGGCAACTGGAATCTGCTTTCATCAAGTTCTTGTCGTTTCTGGATGAAGTGTAGGTTATGAGGATGATTACAATATTTAACGTCTGTACGTGTTTCAACTGTCTATCTTTTTTACCACCATTGAAACGTTCCACAATACTCTTTTTGTGAGGATATATCTTTTATCGTTATGTGTGTTTGTGAAGAAAGGATAAATTTAAAGCAATATGAGTTGCAACTTTGATGTCGGATTTTTTTGTTGCAAAATTGTAAATAACTATTTCAGTGACAGAAAAAAATAACGTTAATAAACTTCTCTTGTTCATATTTGTGATGGGAAAATTATTTATAAGCTTCAAAATTACATCACTGCCGTCCTGTACATTAATGATTTCATATATAAAACTGTATATTGGATTGTAAATGGAAATCTTTCCTCTGCTTTATTTTAGTCTAATTGATCTTAAAGATTTCTTTGTTAATACTTGAATCTTGGAGATATTTAGCGGTTAGTACCTTTATATGTCTAGTGTGTATCTTGATCTCTGACCCTGTTACCTTGAAATCAATAGCGTCATCACTCTTTTAGGAAATCGAAATGAATGGTTTAAATTCTGTAAAGCAACGTGTTGTTAAAGTATTGCGCAAATATCTTACTTTGTTTAATTTTGATAAATTCCATACTTTGAAAGTGAACTGTTAGTTCCAGATGTACAAGTACAATTAAGTTCTTCTAAAACACAGCAATAAATATAAACACTTTCTTTTGGAGGTCCTCGATACACATCTTTACGTCACAAACGTAGAAAAAAGTACAACTGTATGCAAAAATAATATCCAAATTGAGAATGTTTACGATACTGTGAAATCACTAATTTTCGTGGGGGTATTTTTTGTTGTTTTTGAGTTATGCAGAGAACCACGAATTTATGACCACCACGAAATGGTAAATGTCATAATGTGGTTTTATCATTATTCGAGGAACACCAATATTCGTGGAGTATCCATTACTAATAAAAATTTTCCAACCACGAAATCAAATCCCCACAAACCAATATTTTTTCTTTAAACATAAAAAAAAATTCACCCCACGAAAATATGTGATTTTACAGTAAAATTATTTTAATTAAACATAGATTTTTGTTTTAAAAATTAAAGTATGAAAAGATTTTCGCTTTTTTAGGCAATGAAGGAAACAAACAAAAGAACAAATTAATTTTTACAATGTATTTCAACGGTAAAACAATGTTTTTTTTATGAGGCACAATGGCCTTATAAGTTACATGAGCATCATGCAACAACTTTCTAACCATTGAATTTGGTTCATGTTTTAAACCAGAGGCCATTGTATTCACAATTTTGAAAGAGGCATAATTGCTCATCATAACGTTACACTTAGCATGGTTAGTTTGGTTACTTAATATTCATAGGCAGAAAAGGGGAACCAAAAAAAACATTTCAACTAATTAGTAATATTCATCAATAATCAGTTGTACCCCCACCCACAGAAAACCCTGACCTTGGAGCCACACATTTCACAATTTTGAAAAACGCACCCTCGCTTATCACAAATGTTTGATCAATACCAAGGAGCAAATTTCAAAGCATAAATTCATTTTCAGTATATAACTAGAACTGTCAGAAAGGGACAGATGCCCCCTCCCCGCTGGATTTTAAAGAGAAGTTGGCATACCACGAATATTTATGAAACCAAGAGATGTTCACAATTTGCTGAAACATATAGAGTAAAAATATAAGTGCTCATTATACATGTATTTTAAATGAATGCAACTAAGGTGCAGTCTAATAAAAAAAAATCAATACTGAAGTTATGGACCAGACACAAATAATGGACTTTGTGAACCGACCATGGACTTGCATAAATGTCCTTGGGTCAAAATCATTAAACACCCTTAGGTCATAAGCAATCTGTGCAAAATGGGAACTAATCACATTCATCGATAAGAAAGATATGGACCAAACACGAATTATGAACTTTATTCTGTCAGTGTCATTGAACTTGCATAAATGACCTTGGGTCAAAGTCATGACACACATAAGTAATGTTTGTGTAAAACAGGAACATACCAAGTTTATACATCAGAAAGATATGGGCGACACACAAATTATGATTTTTTTTCTTTCAGTGACCTTGAACTTGTACGAATGACCTTGGGTCAAATCATGACACATCCTAAGGTCATGAGCAATCTCTGTAAATTGGAAACTCAAGGCTTATCCATTAGAAAGATATGGACCGAACATGAATTATGAACTTTTTTCTTTCATTGAACTTGCCCAAATGAACTTTGTTCAGGGTAATGACACACCCTCATGTCATGAGCAATCTTTGTGTAAAAAGGGAACTAACCAGGTTCATCCATATGAAAGATTTAACCCGGCACGAATTATGAATGCTTTCTTTCAGTGATCTTGAACTTACCTAAATGACCTTGGGTCGAGATCAAGACACACCCTTAGGCCATGAGCAATCTTTGTGTGAAGTAGTAGGGACACGTTCGCACAGACAGACGGACAAACATGGTGATTTTTATATAACCCCCCAAACTTCATTTGCGGGGGGGGGGGTTATAATTAGAGACGTAGTAATAAAGGTAGTTCATTTGCTCTAGACCCAGGAGCAGCGGAGTAGAATTTCAGAGTTAATGCATTTTCACTATATAATTTAATTTATAGCCCCGTCCTAATAATAGAACCCCTGACCCTGGAGCAATGAAATTCACAATTTTAGAAGAGGCGCCCTTCCTCATCATAACTTTGTATGTTGTAAGTTTGTTTAATACCCAAGAGCAGAGAAGAAGATTTTCAAAGAATTAATGCATTTTCACAAAATATATTCTACAAAGCTCCGCCCGAACACCAGGACCCCTGACCCTGGGGCCTTAAATTCATAATTTTAGAAGAAGCGTCATTATTCATCATAACTGTACATTAAAGAATTTGTTTGTAACATACCCAGGAGCAGAGAAGAAGAATTTCAAAGAAATCATGCATTTTAACTAATCTAGATAGCTCCGCCCTAGCACTAGAACCCTGGGGCCATGAAATTCACAATTTTGGTAGAGACTCAATGCTTAATACATTCATGCCAACAGTTTGACTGCTTGATGTCAAGGGTAAAGAAGATTTTTAAAGATAGCATTCATTTTTGTGGTTTTTGCCCCACCCCTCAGGACCCAGGGGGACCGGGAGCATGAAACTCACCATGTTTTCTCTTCAGCAATAGATACTATTTATCAAAATTGGTTGAGCAGAGAAGAAGCTGAAATTTTCAAATGTTAACACTCGACGCACGACGACGTACGAAAACGGTTGCAATAGTAAAAAGTGCCGATTTATCACATCGATAGTTTCAAGAACAAAGAGTATAGTCTGAGAAAACTACAGTGTTGTACAAAACAAGACTTGAGATATCGATGGTACCAACACTTTATTTTTGTTCTTCTTATTTCATGTCAACTTGTTTTCAAATTTCAGACAAAGATGAACAATATATTTTTGGTTTTAACACATGCTGCTGTTATCTTCCTAGTAATAAGATGGGAGCGTTTGTAGATTTACATTCTTGTAACCGGTGTCATTGTGGTAGAACTCTGATATGTATCATCACCATCTACTTTGGATAATGTCGTGTAACGCTTCTTCTTGTAGCATCCAAACATCTGCTTAAAGCCTGTAAAATAGGAACAAGGAATTGATTTAAGGGGAAAACGTATCTCCCTTCATGGCGTTCTTACGCCTAATGTGGGTGGAACATCTGTCAGAAAATGAACCGTTTGGTGTGTGATACGGGAATTGTTCGTAAATTTTTCATGTGTTGAAGTTCATTTAAAGGACAAAAGCATGACATCTATTTTTATTGTATCTTCTGATGTTTGTTGTTAATTAAAGAAACTGGAGGTACCTAGGATGTAGCTGTCTGGACAAATCAAAATAATTAACTCTTTTTTTATGAATTATTATTCCTCTGTTTGTTTATATTAATTTATTGTTACAACGTACGTTTAAGATTTTCCAATAGAAATTTATTTATATTAAACGTGTTCTTTATAAACAATTTTTTTTCAGAAATAACTTAAAACATGACGACTTAATAAAGGAAAACTATACTAATTTATCTCGGTATTAGATATTTCACTTACCGAAGGGTCAGTGGACCTTAATAATACGATAATCTGAACGGATAAATCATTTCAAGAAAATCCGATCCTCAGCCAGGAAGGATAACTCTTAACATTATTTGATAGAAACTGAAGTCTTTTCGTGCAATAATTTTTATTTTTTGCATTTCATTATGACTGGAGATTCTTTGAATAGTTAGAATCGGTCTGGTAACATTTGATATTTCTACCCAATGAAGTATGGAAATAAAATGCGTTTTAATAAGCCCATTGAAATCGAATGTCCTCTAATCTAGCCGTAGATATCAATGTTATCAAATAAGAAGTGATCTGAATAAGTCAGAAAATACGTTATTTTCTCCAAATGCCTGGATACCTATATTTTTTATATTATAAAATATATTTATTTTTTTCATTAGACAATGCAAACCAAGTACACTGTACACTGATTCGCATTTCGTGAACATATATTAGACGTTTATTCATTTCAATGATGAATTGTCATGGGTAAACATTATTGTAAGAATTCAGAGATAGTTTTTGTGAGCATTTTCCATTACCAAACTCCGGATTTTCAAGACCTGAGAATATTGGACCACCTTAACAATTGACAAGTCGATTAGTTATTGCTTAACGCTGAAATGATTATTTGAATACTGGTTTATCAAAATTGTGGGGGGTTCTATATGGCAGCCTCTACCCGAGCCTTCTTTTTATCAAAAAGTAGAAAATGGTCATTTGCAAGTTCATAGGATTTTTTTTTTCAAAAAGCTATATGGGGTTTGTGAATCTCCATATTTCAGTATAAGGAAACTTGAAACGTGCAATTTAATACTGAAGCCCTGTTTTATAGAACAATATCAACATGACTGTGTGATAGTAAGTTAAAGAGGAAAAAAACAGAATAAGATGAATTGAATTTTGTTCCTTTTTCAATTTATCTCTTTGTATATCACTTGCATAAAAATTGAAAACAAAATAAGAAAACAAATTTTATGGGTTATTGACGTTAAAATACAGAGGTTCATTTTCGGAGGTTTCTTGATTGTAATTAAGAAAATATGTGCAATCGAATAGGTGGATAGTTAGATCTGTGATGAGATTTTAAGCTCTAATTACTTGTGGATGTAGCAAATGATGATTGTTGCTTATTACTACTACCTTTTCTGAAATTGTCGTTAAATCCTGCGTAAAGTAGAGGATTAAGGGCACTGTTGGAGAATGCAAGAACCTGGGCAATGTAATAGAAGTCTTCAAATCCATCCCATAGCTGAAAAAAATACAACTTAAATATTGACAGATTTATACACTATCTAGTGAAAAGATTCATTTTCTTTTGGGAAATCGAGAAAACCCGGATTAGCTTACCGTGTCTGTTAGAGGTTTATATTCCGAATATAAAACGGCTAATTGCAATGGCATCCAACACAATCCAAACACTGCCAGGATAAAAACTAACATAATGACGACCTATAAAAACATTCAAACATGTAGGTTAATTGTATGGATAATTATCTTTGTAAAAGTTGACATATTTGAAATTATGCACATTGATTTAAAAAGATGTTTAAAAAGTACTTTTATGCACTTTGGAGACAGTGGACGACATGATTTATGGTCAGTAACGTAATATGGAGATAACGAACAGTGTTCAAGATTAAAAGTCCATAAAACAATACAAAATAGGAGCAGAGCAAATACGGACCTCAAAACAGTAGAGGTGGGATCAGGTGTCATGGAGGAGTGAGCATCCCCTTCCGACCGGTCGCACCCGCTATTTCAGTGTATAAATAATCGACTAACAATTAGTATGAAAAAAGTTAGTCAGCATTTGACAATGATAAATTGAATTTGCTGACTTTGCGAGCAGTAGCAAAATCAAAACATTGGTATTCCATAAATACTAAAACGCATCTTACATCTAAGATGCGATGAAATGTACACGACATTTACAATAGCCTGCTAGTGTGTTCGCAAAGTTTGTATGGTATTAAAAGTCAGGAAAAATGAATTGAAAAAGCAGTGCTTCACCTTGCGTCTGGCGTACAGTACTCATGAGGAGAGGAACGGTTTAGACGTGATTTATTTATGTCTATCTTAATTGTGAAATAATGTATCAAAATCTTGAAATATAGTCTGTCAGCGTGAGTTCCTGACGGAAAAGTATCCTGAAAGCTGCTGTAGATTTTTTGTACCAAGTAGCTTCGCCTCCAACTGTGATCACGACAAATTACCGTCGATAATTCAACAAACATTCCTATATGATTTCAATTTTCCAAATAATTAAAAAGGGTAAAGCATATTGATAGATTATGTATCAACAGCATATCTAAAGCATGCCTTAAACGTATTACTGCGGATTCTCCAGGCTTAGATGTGATAATCGAATTTCAGGAAAAAGTCTATATTTATATTCTCGTTTCTCACATTGTGATAAGGTGAGCATCTGGTACTTAAGGTTTATTTATTATATAATTGAGGATTAACTGTTATAAATTCTTTACGCACTTTATCATTTTATTGATGAATTTTTAATCCTCGCGAACTTTCGTCACTAAATTCATGTACAAGATACACGTACGCAATAATAAAAAATGGAAAAGATATTCAGAAGGATGGAAAACAGATAAAAAATATTTTCTGTTTAAATTGTGCATAAATGCAAATACTGTATTAATATCAATATAAATTATAAACGAATAGTAGTATAGTGTCAGTTTGCCCTAGCTGCTATCTCGAATCACTCGAAAATGCTTTGGTAGACTTTAAAATAATTCAATTTCTGAATGGTTTGTTAAATGCACTACCTGAATTGATTATAGCTTTCTGGAAATTAAAAGCAATAAAGATCTGTGCCATTTTCATAATGCTTTGTTTAACTTGAAAATGGCTTGATCTTTCACCTGAAGGAGATGGTAAACATAAAGTTACAGATTTGACTTGATACATGTACATGTAGGCCTGTATGTAGGTTTGGCGGTGATTCTCTCCTTACGCTCAATAAAAATAGGCAAAATTAAAACGCTTTGCATTGCTTGGTCTAAAACTTACTGACCATATCTCATTCCATCCACTGTCGCTATAAAACTATGAAACGGTATAAGTAGAACACCCCCATCACGTGAGAGACCAACTAATCGTAAGCCATTATTCAGTTTCACATAAAAAAAAATCAACATACGAGACTAGGTTAAAACAATATGTGTTTGTGAAACACTGATGCCCCCGTATGGCAACATATCAAAGATTAAACTTTTCATAAATGTCGATGGATCGATGTCAATTCTGGCTTGATTTACAGATTTGCTCATTTGTGAGGGTATGCGCCTCTCTTTGGTGCTCCTTGTTACTTGTTGAAATATTTTGGTCTCACTATTCCAATATATTTATTAACAAGATGTGTTTGTGAAACACTGATGCCCCCGTATGGAACACAGCAAACTTTTCTTAAATGCAAATTTTATATATTGTTATTCTCACTGGAAATACAATTGTGAAATATGAAAGTAGGCCAAGGTTAAAGTTTTTTCACAAACAGACAGACAGACAGACGGACGGACATGACAAGAACTATATACCCCCGAAACTTCGTTTACGGGGGCATAAAAACTTCGTTTATGGGGGCATAAAAAGTATAATTATATAAAAGATTTATAAAATCATTAATGTTACCTTTCTTTTAACTTTCGTTTGTATATTAACCTCTTTCGTCGTTCTTTCACCGGGTGCTTTAGAAGTCCACAGTGTCCTTATAACACAACAGTAGGCCACAGCCATTACAACAAGTGGAATGAAATAAAGAATAAACGATATGCATGTATAGTAGGCCACTCTGCCAGGTCGGATTTCAGCAGAGTTACCGCCCACTGCATTGAGTTCCCACGTGTCGTCACACCACATTTCTGTGTAGTCTAGCCATTGTCTACTCATCAGTTCTTTTTTCACCAACATAGGTACTCCAGCTGCTATGGAGAAGACCCATATAAGTATGAGGCTGTGGTAAGCTTTACGTTCTATAACATGGGCCTTCATGGCATAAACTATTCCAAAGAATCGGTCACAAGCAATCAACATAAGAGACATGATGCTGGCCACTAACGAAGTCACTGCAATTAAAAAAGCAACATTGCAAAGGATTAAACTAAGTCATGGATATTTCTTTTTGCATCGTTAAACATATACGACCATCAGAGTATGAATTTAAGATTGACCAACAATGCTAAATGCTGAAACAGAATATCACTATGTAATTAAGGCAGGAAGTCACACATAATAATATTTAAACCTTGGGCTAAGGCTTATTTGCAGTTAAAAACGTTTCCAAGGTCTTGGATCATGGTATGAATCAAAAAATTTACATAAAAGGTGAATATAATGTATTTCTAGTTTTTCAAAACATTCAGTATGTGGGAGTCTGGCATATTAATTTGTTTACAGTTCTGCGGTAGTTTAACCCCCCTTATAATTCCTATAATTCCGCCTTATTGATTGGTTTCTCTATTAACTGATCTGTATCCCAGATACCAAAATGATCCAGTAAACACGCCAAGGAGCCCTGACTACAGTCTAAATGCACTTCATTTTACGTTAGGTTAGTTTTATTCTTAGACTTATGTTTTTAATACAACACAAGATTTATCAAAAATAAAATAATACTTTATTTACTAAAAAATCTTAAAATGTATATATTTTTTCGAGATCTGGATTTTAGAGTGTATTTCACTTTTTTTTTTAAATATAAAGCTTCACTTTCGCACTTGTATTTTCACTTTCTTTGGGGGTTGTTGAAAGGAAAGTAATTTCTATATAGGCAAAATAACCATCTTAGCTAAACTAAAATGTTAATGTACTTGAAGTCAGATCAGGGTCATTATCTGCCAATAAGATTTACTCTAAATCTTTTCCACCATTTCGACGAACATTTCACATGTTAGTGTGTAAATTTATAAGATGTAATTATGCCCCGTTATTTATTCTTAGTCGTATAAAATAATTGAGAAAAAATGTGTACGTCCTTATAGGACTGGGCCAAAGTATCGATATTTTGGTATACTGTAAACCAACTTTTATTCGCGACGACTTTATTTCGCGATTTCATGAGAGTAAACTAGATCGCGACGATTAATTTTCGCGATGAAGCCTGTTTTGATCTGTTGTAATAGACACAGAGACTTTAAGGAATGGTTCGCGGCGAGAAATATTCACGATGACGAGGCTCTCGCGAAACTCGCGAAAATTTCTCGCACGCGAATAAAAGTTGGTTTACAGTATTGCAATGCAACGACAAGAAATATCGTATTGCAATACATTTTTGTAATACCGATAAACATGCATGTACCGGTACATGTAAAATGCTGGGGGTTTCAAACATTAAGTTGCCTGAGACGTTTGTGATTAGGCCAAACAATCAGACAGAAACTGTACGTTGTATGGGTGAAATTGATGGATGGATGTATTTCAGTGCATAAACATGATAACTGTAATCAAAACAAGATTTTTTCCATTTGGTTACATATAATAGTTTTCTGCGTGTACGTGGAAGTAAATACATGTATAGAAGAAAACAACAATAACAAGAAAATGTCATTTTGATTTTCGTTAAAAGTACACGTGTTAGGCTCCAAAGTCCGATGGTCTCGCCAAACCCCGATGGCCTGCGCCAAACCCCGATGGCTCGGTGTCTTTACGGACGCCAAAGTCCGATGGCTCGTTTCCTATGAGACAGGTTACGCTAAAGTGCAATGGTCTGACACGTCGGTGCGGATGAACAATCAACGTTTATGACGTCACAATAATCCGACGTCAATCCTTGACGCCGTTGTCCTGCATTCAAAAGCCATCATTTCTGAATTTGTACTTGAATACAGTTTTATTGATTTTGCTAACTGCTCGCACACCACTCGATTGATTAGGTTTAGTCCTCGCATTGCACAACCTGAGAGATTTAGCGTTAGTCCTCGTACACTGTAGTCGAATGATTAAGGTTAGTCTTGCACCCATCCACGATATCTAGGTTATTGTTAATACACACTTTTCGAGCGTTAGTCTGACGCAACTATCTGAGAGATAAGGGTTGGTTTTCGCATTTATTTATATATATACTTGTTTTTAAGATCTTGGCATTGCGCGACATTGAGGTTTGGTGCAGTGGTACTATGACGTCATAAACGTTAATTGATTTCCGCACCATCGGACTTTGGCGTGTCAGACCATCTGGAATTGGTGCAGACCATCGGACTTTGGAGTCCTCCTACACATGTATTAAAATACATACCGCAATACAGTTGAATATATGGCAATATATCCCAATACGAGATCCCTAGACAATACCCAGCCCTACATCCTTATTGATACTTGTTTCGTTTGCATAAAAACTTTTTTTTTTCAAATGACCTTTAGGAAGAGCGTTAACTCTAAAATAATTATTCACTAGTCACTATCACAACGTTTCTTCATAGAATAAATCTCTTAAACATTGAATGATTTGTCTACGATTTTCCCAGAATGGAACGTTAAATTTACTGCATTTTCTTTTGTCTACATCTTTGATAAGGAAAAATAAAATCGATTTCTTGTGTCTAGGTTTTTAATTTCCTCTGTGCATAAAGAGCACATGACCCCCCCCCCCCCCTCCCCAACAAAAAAAAAATAATAATAATCGAAAACTACTTCTAGAGTATTTCTGTTGATACAAAATTTAATCAAACTAATACTAATTTATACTTAACTAGGTTTGTTACAAATGCATATTACCATTTAAAAAAAAACATTTTACAGGGCTTGACGTATTGGTAAAAGTATTCATTCCTTTTACAAACACGTGTTTTTCCTTTCAATTTTTAAGTCCCAATGACTAATTAATCTGAAACTCATTGTAGATTGTTAATTAGTGAAAGACACTTATGCTGTTTGTACTGTTCATATCCACTTTAACACACATGTATTTATTGCTAGCGACTACGTAAGTCCAAATGCCTTGAATACGATGTACGCATGCTCGGCTTCACGGTCAAACTGTGTGAAAACTACTATAGATAGACCGTACGATAACGATTTCGTTGTATCATATTGTGGCATTAAATAATTATGTTTATTTAATGTGTAGCTTACATTTTAAAGGTAACTTAACATTTGTAATACTTCAAAATTTTTTTACGACTTAGAACAACCAAAAAAAGACTATAATTTCTGATTGGTCAATTCAGCTAATCTTACAAATTCCAGAGACAATGTTCACTATAAAAGTAACGAATAAATTCATTATTTATATTTTTAAAAAATCTCATATGTATGGCTTTTAACCCAACATTTCTTGACAAAGATGACCCAAAGGACCAAGCTACTTCACATCTTCACATTCAGAACTCTCTAGATTTCTTTCTAAAACATACACTTTGAGTTATTTTCTATATTTCCTTAAACTCCCGAGGCCCTGTTTTTTTTCGTTGCTACAATGCCATTCTATTCTTAAACCAGCCCATACAATGCCCCAATCGGCATCTTCTCTATATTACATGTATATAGAGTTTCCCCCTCTCCGGTAAAGGTCATAAATGTTCTGTTGTGCCAAAACTCCAATAGGTCATCACAAATCCCTCCCCCCCGTCGTTTCTTTACCTATGTGTCTATAAAATACATTTCACAAAACAATTATAACTTTATCACTCTTCAGCCTCGATAAACAATGATTTCAGCAAAATAAATCACTTGATCAAGGATCCTCCTTTCTGTGTTTAAAAATTGCTGCGGTGTTGCCTCACCTATCTTTTTTAAAAGATAAACTTGTAATCTATCAGTATACGTATTTGAAAACACACACAAACATTTCTGTTGAAATCTTCCTCACGAAAAACAGAAGTAGATAGGATAGCCAGGCACTTGATGACAGCATCAGCTAATGAAGAAAATTTGTTTTATCTGCATCTGGTATTCTACAGTGCACTGTGTACTGGGATATGATTACAGTTATACTGCAAGAATTCACTGGTGTTTTAGAGATTTTTGTCAAAAGACCTAAAGATAAACATGTAATTATACCAACCGTTATCGTAGATACTAGTACACTGGCCCGAAGACTTACTCATTCAAGACTAACAATAAGTAATATTGAATGTTATACTAGTGGTACTGTGAGCAATGAGCTCACTAAATGATACCCCCCGCCTCCCACATGAATAAAATGGGAGTGTCCATGTTTTGTTGTGGGAAACCCCCCAAAAAAGTAAAATAGGAGGTGCACAACGGCAATATGTAATAAAGATTCTGTGAAAGTTTCATCAAATTTCATTCAGTGGTATGAGAGGAGTTGCGGATAAGAGATGGGTACTCCAAAGCGTAACAGACGGACGGACGGAAGGACGGACGTACAGACGGACGGACGGACATAACGATTACCATATACTCTCCTGCTTTTCAAGCGGGGGGTATAATTAAATAAAAGTCTTCACATATTTAACTAAAAACAAATCGCAGAAATAAGGAAATAAAAAATAAGGAAGTTATCAAAATAATTTAATGAGCTTGGGAAAAATAACACAGTCATCATAAAATTTCTAAAAGTAATAAATCCGTCTCTCTATATTCTTAGTTAAATTAAACGAAATAAAACGTTAAATTTAATGAATCTTTCTTATTACTTTATTTTTTTAATTCTGATAATTAATTCAAACTAAATAAGTTTCTGTGATGTGCTTTTCCTCTTAAAAGACTAGCAAAAATATATATCTTAAATAATACGACAAAAGATGTGGCTGGTTTAGAAGATATTGACTGATTTTCTTAGTTGTTTGACTAAAAAAAAAAATCAAAAGCATCCTCTTGATACCGTTGACAGGCTCTAAGGTCGGTTTTGTGGATTTTATCTTGATGACGGTATTTTTTTAAAATGATTACATTCTGCATTGCTGATTACATTATACAAAAGCATTTACATGACTGTGAATTAAAATTAGATTTGTCTTATACAATTTTCTAATTCCATTAAGTAGGTGAGAACCCAAGGGAATGGTAGACTAGCACATGAAATTAAAGCTACAATGGAAAATATCCAGTTCATTGAATATTTTATCTGGGAAGATGAATATTTCCCTTCGTAGCACTTTCAGAAGTTATTGCAAAAACATTCAAAAAATTATCATATAGGATTTTAAAACGAGTTAAATCTTTGGAATAAACTGTTTCATGTGAACCCACCTTGAGCAAAAGCATTGAATTTGCAGAAAAAGGATCCAAGAATCCAGCCATCCGTCAGATCGTCCACGGTGCTCACCCAGTAACAAGAAAACGTCACGAGCAAGTCTGCCACCGCAAGGTTCACGATATAGAAATTGGTGGTTGTTCGAAGCCGTTTATTGTAAACCACCACCAAAATCACGAGGAAGTTTCCAATCAAAGACACCACAGTCGTAATTGTGCATGCAACAATTTTAATCAGAGCTTCTGCAAATGGTACTGATTTTTTCTCCTTTGGGTATGGAATTTGCGATAAATCGTAGTGAAAGTTGTAGTCATAGTAAGATCCATCATAATCAGGGTAGTGATGGGCGAAGTACGAACCATTAACTCCGGTATGGTTTTGTGCTAGTTCGCCGGTAATGTTATATCCCGTGTGATTTAATTCTTCAAATTCTGAATTAAAAGAACCCCAAAGATGAGACATTCCAGTAGAACAACAATACACAGTATCTTTTTAATTTAATGTATGAATAAACTATGACCCAGGTTATGTACCTAAAACAGACTTCATAATAAAGAAGTAAACAACACAACTCTATTGATGCTGGAATCGTTATGAAGACCGCTGAAACAGGTAGCGGTTAATAAGCCAAGGGGTCTGTCACACGTAACGTTTGCTGAAGTGTAAATATCGATGCGTGAACAACTTACTGGAATCATTTTTGTTTATGCTATAATATACTGCCTCTGTTAAGTCGTACTTAACATGATTTGTAGGTATGTGTTAATGACGCTTTATACATAATATTGACGATTACAAAAAGAAAAAACACTACCATCCCTCTTTTCTGCCCTCGATTCCTCATTCCGTATATTACGATTTTTTTTAGTAATTATTTCATGGTGTGTAAGTGATTGAGTATCCACTCAGTTTTCCCATATTAAAGATGGGATGTTTAGAAACAGTTTTCACAGTCTGGGGTATAAGGGTTATCAGAGGAGGACAAAGGCAAATCCTTTGGGAGGGAAATTGCCTTACAAATACCAGTATGACATTTACAGCATGCAGAGTGTGTGATTATGGGTGGCAAAAAAGTTAAATTTTAACTATGAGGAAATGAATACTTGCAATTTTCAATGCATAATCTTGAAAGAAATCCATAATTGTAACTTGACGGATAGTTTTTCTGAACTTCCATATTACATCCAATAATTGATTGAATGTGTTCATTCACATTGATTTCGCTGTTCAAGTGTGACTTCGTAGGTTCATAATATGCCTTCGAAGTGGTAGTGTTGGGGTCCCCCCTAAAATATCTGATCAAGCTGTCAATGTTAAAAAATCTTGTATCTGTGGATATGGGATGGAAGGGGGTTTGAACCTTCCCCCAATCTTCTCGAATTTTTCCCCAAATGCTGGGATTAGCCAGTGCTCGGCAAAAATTGTGGGTTATAGTGTCTACATGTACCAGCATTTATATAATATTTCTTTTGCATATTAACTAAAGTCAATACGAAAAAAATTTTGGTGTAGCCGTTTATAAACTGTTAATAATTCATTATAATAAGCTATTTATAGACAATGCATGCCAATGTTATTGCAGAAGTTACGTCAATCATGCAACACTGAATTTAATTCACGAAATTTTTGTGCGTGTTGCGCTGAAAATATTTGCAACTTGCATATGACTTGCTGATTTCCCTCCTTACTAGCCTTCAGTTCTGGGTTCACTGTTCTTTAGTTAAGAGTTAAACGATTGTGGCACTCTGTATTACCCACCCTAATATATTCATGGAAAGCTTTTCTTTGGAAAAAAATTGCCGCCCGAGTGTCCCGCTAGTCCTTTGAGCATCGGGAGTGCTCTTGTACAACTTTAATCATACACAACGTGAAAGCCGATTAATATTCTTACTTTACTATTCTGTCTTTAATATGGCTGTCGTGAGAACATCGTTCAATGAACAGAAAAGAAACAGCATATCCAATTGATACGAAAAAATCCCTACTTACTTTCCACACTAGAATGCAGCTTCAGTGAACAAATTAAATTAACATGAGGCAGATAATAATATTATTGATTTTCAATGGGAAAAGCTGATTTATTTACTTCTCGAATGATAAATAGTAATGATTTTAGATAATGTGAAAGAGTGTTTTCAGCTACGAAAACTCCTTTAGGTAGGTCCACAGGGGTGGATGAACTAGTCATTCTAGTGCTCATTGCAAATTGAATATTTCTATTGGTTGGAAAATAAATTCGGATAACTTTTTACAGATTTTTTTTTAACGGCAGAAACTCTCATGATGGAGAAATTTGGATCTTAAAATTTATAGTCATTCCTTCAAATCAAAGTGTTTTTTTTTCTATCTTCGTAATAGGGAGACATAATTTTTACTTTGAAATTAGTGCGTAGTAGAAAAATACAATGGTTAAAATACAGCAATAGCATACAAGCGTTTAATAATGATTAATATTATTTGTTTGATTACGTTCAGATACCGATAAGATACAATTTTAGACAGAGAACCAATGTTTAATGCATGGGTGTACAGATTTGATATAAACCTTAGCTTAATCACCAACACTTGATGCATTCCCGTTTACCAGTTTTAAGGCTTATGTTTTTCCTACCATAAAATGAATAGTTACTTACTAATAGCTTTTTGAGTCATCGGAATTGTTCAAAACAATGGAATATAAAGCGCTATTGAACTGGAAAAATTACACATATCAGTTTGAAAATCTGATGCTTTGAATAAGCAGATCAACTGAGGAACGTGCCTACGGACACGGAAAAGGTCGACAAATACAAACCCTCTCCTGAAGTGCTGAGTACACAGAGGGTTGAGGCCAGGGATAAAGAAAGGAAATAAAACCACATGGCTCCCACAACATCTAAGGAGTTTTTATATGTACAGATGACCCCGTACAATGGAATACTCCAGTAATTAACGTCGTGATGACACTATTAAGAAAAATCAGAATTAAGTTCTTATATTTATCTTATTGATACAACAGCCTCCCAAATGATTATCATAGCAAAGTCTGTTTTGTTCTAGGAAACCCGAAACAAGTACATGTATCGGGTCAAAAAGTAAAATAAGGTGCACAATGGTATTGTGCAGTAAAGATTCTGTGAACGCCTCATTAAATTTTGTTCAGTGGTACGTGATAAAAGGTTGTACATGGACTTTGTGTTTCACATTTATAGAAAAAAATTGTGTATATTGATCGTCGGTTACACATGTAGTTGTGTTTAAGACTTCCTTGACATAAAAATAAATAACGAAATCTAGTTTTAAAGAAACAAAAAGAAAATATGGAGAGTTTATAGAAAGACTATCGGCCCTAGTTATACAAATGTTTCATAAGAGGATATTTTTTAAAGAAAATATTAATGGTAACCTAAATATAAGATTCGTGCTAAGTGTAATGACTTCAATTTTTCAATCGTTAACTCCCTGACTTCTGTTGCAATATACCTATATGGGGTTTATGTCTCTCAGTTGACTCGATAGCATGATCTACGTTTGTTCAATTTCTAAACAGGACAGGCTATCGACAAGCAAGTTGATGAAACAAGGATATCAACAATCTCGTTTCAAGTAATAATTTCGTTAGTCTCTAGTTGGTTAGTCAGCAAATACATTGATTATGAAACATGGAGATAACGAACAGTATTCAAGATCAAAAGTCCATAAAACAATAAAAAAAAACAGGAGCAGAGCAAACACGTACCTCAACAACATCAGAGGTGGGATCGGGTGCCATGGATGAGTGAGTATCCCTTGCCAACCGGTCAAACCCGCCGTGTGCTCCTTGTCATTATCGGGAAATAATGGAAAAATCCATTAAATCAATTCAGTGTATATTAGTAAATTATGGACTAAAAATTAGTATGAAAAACGTCAGTCAGCATTTGAATCAATGATAAATTGTATTTGCTGACAAGGCCATAGTATCGACCATAGAACTTACGAAATGATGACTTTCAACGAGCCTGCTGAAATTCTTGTTTCATCAGCTTGTTTGTTAATAATTTACCTCGTTGTTGAAATTGTTCATACGTAGGGCATGCTCTTGCGTATCGAATCAACTAAGATATATAAACTCGCTATGCAGGTGATGAAGGTATATTGCTGCACAAATAAGAGGAAAAATTAGCCTTACGGGCTACCTGTTTGTTTGTTTTTTTTGTCATATTGATCTTGCATCTATTCTACCTAAAAATTTTTTTCACTTTTGAGTTCGAGTTATTGAAGACAAAAGGATAGATTGTTTTCATATTGCTCCTTGGCCACTTTATGCGAGACCTCAACATGCATCAGTTTTAACCCATTCTGAAAAATGTAAATGTCTTCTCCAAACGGCCACCCAATCCTTAAACTTGTCACCTTTCACAAAGGAAAATTAGCGTATTTTCATGCCTTATGGTAGAAGCCTGTGAAATTCGTTGCTTCCGTATGGAATGATAAAACCCTCTATACCAGAACAGCTGATCGAAGACTTTAAGAAGAAAGGGCATTTCACAGAATGACAAATGCTTTTAATTTAATTGTTGCAAATAAAAAACGTTGACCTTCCTTGATAAAAATATTTAATAATTGGATATAACTAATAATACACAACTTTACAAGTATGTATATTTTTTAAAATAAATATCCGTTCGTACACTGTGTTTGATTTTATAGTTTTAGTTTATAATTTTTCATCGGCTTTATACGACTTCATCAAAATCTGTAGCTTCTGGGTATCAAGATAGGATTCGTAAAACCTTAAAAAAAATAATGGTAAATTTATTATTACGATTTTTTCTGAAATAGAAAATCATTTAAATTTAGTATGATTTCTTAAACTATCCCTTAACATCCACTAACTTACTTTTTATAATCTATTTGTGCTAGTAATCCCCCACCTCAATCTGCAGTAATTTGACTTTAAAGGTGCATGGACACAGATTTGTAGTTAATATTTTGTGTTTAATGTCACGACTTATATATTTTAATATCATTTCACACAAAAATATATTAAAATTTTATTTCATCTTAAAGTTATTGAAACTTCAAATGTTTGGATGGATTTGATTGACACATCCTTGCACTCTCACAAATTTTACTTTTATTCTTAATACTTAGTAAAAGTGGCAATCTTGTGTACTATGAAAAGTATTAAAGACTTTAATCCAGAAAAATAATTATATTCAGATTGGAAATGTTAAAAAGCACAACCCCTTCACAAGTATCCTCATTTCGCGCTTAGTGTTGTGTACATAGTTTAGCAAATTGATCACACCCGTGAAACGTACACAGTTTTTGTAAACAGGGCACGGGCTCTGTTATTGTTGATGTTTACAATTCACCGGGTGCGTTCAATTATTAAAGTCTGCTCACCACAAGTGCACGGACTGACAATATACTGTGTATGTGTTTTGCTTTCTAACATTTCTACTCTGAATTTTCTGTATTACAGTTTTAATATTTTTCATCGGATGGGACGTAAAATGGTGCCCCATATCAGGGATAATAACCCCTTGGCATGCTTTAAGATCGTTTCTCTGGTTTTTGAACAAGTGTAGGCTCATAAGGGGCCATCAGAGAAACCTTAAAACTTTCAAAACCCTTTATACAGTCTTTCAATTCATACCGCCGAAATAAGGCTGAAATATTGCTGTCAAGGCATAAAACAACAGTACTCAAT